GTAAAGGCGAAAGACGAATGGATGAGCCTACTCTCCTCGAGTAAGACCACAGTCTACCCTAGCAAAACAAGGTGCTGAAGTCAGAGGCAACCAGCCAAGAGGCGCACCCCAGCAATCAGGATGCCACGCATACACGCCATGGAAATATGTCTATATCAGCAAAACGTTATGGTGGTCGCCCTGTGATGGACTCTCAGGCAGGAGCAGTGCCGGGCCCTCTGCCTCAAAGAGGCCCAACCCAAATTACTGGAGGTCCTTCTCAAATGTCCTGTGGAGCCAGGGGACATGAGAAAAGAGCATCTGGCTGAACTAAGAAAGGAGTCAAATTAATGCACTGGAATGCAGAGGGGATTACAAATAAAAAGCTAGAGTTAGAAAATATTCTAAATGAGGAACAGATTCATATATGCTGTCTACAGGAAACCCACCTCACTGAAAACCCAGTTTTCAAAATCAGAGGTTATCAGTGCTTCCGATCAGACCGGAAAGGCAGGAAAAAGGGTTAAATACTGATTCTTGTGAGGAACAATATCACTGCGTGCCAGACTGAAGTATATATGGATGGAGCAGAATATCAGATTCTGAAACTACAAACTGAAAATGCAGACTTCTACCTGATCAATTATTACTGCCCAAGTGATCGTCCCCAGGCTTTAGACACAATCCCAGTGGAAGAAAAGATGATTCTATGTGGAGACTTTAACAGCCACTCACAAAGCTGGGGATATGACCATATAGACCAGAGAGGGGAGAAACTGGGGGAGTGGCAGGATGAGAACAGACTTGTTCTTATTAATAGGCCAACTGATCCACCCACATTCTACTCGAGGTCGTGGCACACCATTACTACCCTAGACCTAGCATTTCACTCTCCAGATCTGAAATGGAACATTACAAGAGTTGTTGGAAATCAACTGGGAGGCAGTGACCATCGACCCGTCTTCCTGAATGTAGAAAATGAGAAGGTCAGAGAAACTAGTACGCTGCCAAGGTGGAACTACAAGAAGGCTGACTGGACAATGTTCAAGCACCGTACCAGTATACTGCTTGGAAGTCTCAGCGTAGACCAGGATATAAACAAAGTAGTTAAAGAATTTAACAAATGCGTACTAAAGGCAGCAGGAGAATCAATACCAAGAGGTGCCCGTAAGCATTATAAGCCATACTGGAGCAATGAGCTAGAAAATTTACATAACGAAGTAGAAACATCCAGAAAGATAGCAGAGACCAGGCCATACCAAGAACATCACAATAACTACCAGCATGCAAAAGCAAAATTTGTAAGGGCAAAGCTGCAGGTTAGAAGGGAAAGCTGGCAGGAGAAAACAAGGTCGCTGAACTTTTAAGAAGACACAAGAAAGTTATGGAAGCTTGTGAAACAAATTATTGATGAGGACACAGGATGGAACTCAAAGATCACGCTGCAGAAAGATGGAAACATGGTCACAGGAAAAGAGGCAGCCAACCTATTTGCGGACACTTTTGCTTTAAATAACGACATGGAAATCAGTTCAGAGAAAAAACACGAAATTCAAGAAAAGACGCAATTTAGAAGTCAGAAAGAAATAACATCAGAGGCGCTAGAGGTGCCAATTACACTTAATAAACTGGAGTTGGCCATTTCAAAGCTGAAAATGCGGAAGTCACCAGAAGCAGATGGTATATCAAACGAAATTAACAGAAACTTAGGAAAAGTAGCCAAAACAAAGCTTTTACAGATATTTAATGCTTGCTGGGCAACAGGGAATGTTCCACAGATCTGGAGAGAGGCAATTATAATACCCCCCATAAAGCCTGGGAAAGACAGTTCCAATGCCTCCAACTACAGACCGATTAGCCTCACAAGCTGTCTCTGTAAAACAATGGAGCGCATCACCAACCTCAGACTACAGTGGTACATTGAAAGTGAAAACATCATTACACCACAGCAGGCGGGCTTTAGAAAGTTCTACTCTACGGAAGACCAGACAACATACCTCTCCCAAGGAATAGAGGATGATTTTCAAGAAACTGATACTCGCGGCATGGATAGATTTAAGGAAAGCTTTTGATAAGGTTTGGAAGGAGGGGCTTTTGAAGAAATTGAGAAAATATAAAATAAATGGAAAAATGTACAATTGGATTAAAGCATATCTACATAACAGAAGAGCCAGGGTACAGGTAGATGGTTTCAAAAGTAAAAAAGTTCTACTGCGACAAGGCGTCCCTCAAGGTGGTGTCCTGTCGTCCACACTTTTCCTTTTATTCATCAACTATCTGGTTGCTGAGATACCAAATGGAATCAAAATGGCAATGTATGCCGACGACCTGGTACTGTGGTGCACCAATGAACATGCAACGATAGCCACAAAAACACTACAGCGGTCTACAAATGCACTTGAGGCATGGGCCAATAGATGGTGTGTCAGCATCAACACAGACAAATGTAGCACCACACTAGTCACCCTCTCCCCAAAGCAAAAATCCGGCACCATCAAAATAAACGGAATACCCCTGAGAGATGATAAAGAGCCCACATACCTAGGAGTCACATTTGATGACAGGTCGACATGGAGAAAACATATCAACAAGGCAGCAACCAAAGCCAGGAGGAAGACAGCAATTCTAAGAAAACTAAGTTGAAAAACATGGGGAGCAGATGGGAAAATACTCAATAAAGTATACAAGCAGAGCATACTTCCACACTTTGAATATGGGTCAACTGCATGGTGTTCAGCATCTAGTACCACATAAAAGGAGTTAGACAAAGTGCAAAATCAAGCGCTCAGAGTCATCACAGGAGGGATGAAATCAACCCCCATATTAGAAATGGAGAAAGCTGGGAAAACACAGGCACTGAGAGAACGCAGAGATACAAAGTTGCAAATACAAGCTGAAAAGTTCCTCAGTATGCCAGATCACCCGATGGAAAATAGATTTAGGAACCTAGCCTTGGGACGGTTAAAAAGAAGCAGCTTTATACACCAAGCAAAAAGAATATGTAGACAAACTCCTGACCTTCCAGATATTGGTTGCCCTCTTAAAAGTATTCCGTAACAAACCCCATAAAGAGAAAAATGTAAACTAACGGTAAAAATCCAGACAAACGTGAAAGGGATATTTGACAAGAAAGAGCAAGGTAGTGTACAACGCAAAATGGCCACCCTCAGCTATATTGATGAAGAATACCCACAAGAACAATGGGTCAGAGTCTATACAGATGGGTCCGCAGAAAGTGCAGTTAGAAATGGTGGTGCTGGAGTGTACATCGAATTCCCAGATGGTACTAGGGATAAGTCCAGCGTACCAACCGAGAAGTACTGCCATAACTATGATGCAGAAACCCAGGCTATCAAGATAGCTACAGAGAAACTGCTAAATACCAACCTTGGCTCACAGTATGTGGTAATGCTGACAGATGCTAAATCAGTACTTGAAGCAAAGCACTCCAGTCTAGGAAACTACCAGAATTGCAAACATTGCTGACACAACTCAGCGTTCAGCGAAGAGTCGTAATGCAGTGGATACCGTCTAATTGTGGAGTGCCTGGAAATGAGAAAGCTGATCAACTGGCAGGGGAAGGTGCGACAAAAGAGCAGCCGGATGTGCCAGTCACATACCACCAAAAGAAAAGAATCATTAAATCGATCAGGAAACCACCAGCCCCAGCACAAGACGACTATTTTATTATGGACAGACCAGAACAAGTCATTATCCTCCGCTACATAACAGAGCACAACCGATTACGTAACCACATGTACACAAAATTCAAGATAGGTGTATCAGCCATGTGCACCTGTGGAAATGTGCCCCAGACAGCAGAGCATGTACTCCAGGACTGCACCGATTTTGACACATTAAGGCAAACCTTTTGGCCAGAAAGAAGAACAGTGGAACGTAAACTCTATGGACCACTGAATGAACTAACAATGACAGTGAAATGTTTACAAGAGACAAAACTGCTGATATAGACAACTTTTTTCAGGCGAACGAAAGAAGAAGAAAAAGACACTTGGAGGATCGACTGCTCTATAGAAATATGAGCCAAGCATCGTATGCCCGATGCGACTCTAGCGTGGAGAGGTACATTACATTTTAACGCCTACAATGACAGTTTAGGGACAATTACTTTACTTTTTAACGTCTAGAATGACAATCTATGGATAAATACTTTATTCAATTACTTTATTTTTTGACGTCTACAATGACAGCCTAGGGACAATTACTTTACTTATTTTACATCTACAATGACAGTATATGAACAACTGCCTTACTTTTTGACGTCTAGAATCACAATCTAGGAATAATTGCTTAACCTTTTGTCTTTTCAGAGAAAATCTAGGGACTATTACTTTATGATGTATACAGAGACAATCTAGGCACAATTGCTTTTCATTGTTAACGTCTACAATAACAGTCTAGGGACAAATGCTTTACTTGTTGTCGGCTACAAAGACACGCTGGGGACAATAGCCTAATTACTTTACTCTCTGGTGTCTGCACAGACAATCTAGTTACAAATACTTTACTTGTTGACGTTTTCAAGGACAATCAAGGGACAATGGCTTTACATTTTTATATCTACAAAGACAATCTTGGGATAGTTACTTTACTTGTTCACTTCTACAAAGGTAATCTAAATAATGAAAATGATAACAATACTTCTTCTTCTTCACGTTCACCAGCTGTAAACTCTGGCGGAAGGTTCTGGTTGCTCGTCCACTACTGAACTGCAGTCCTGCTCCAGAACCTGAGTGTTGCGTGTGCGTCAGTTTTACAGATCTCATTCTCTTGAATACAGACTGTTGGTTCCTTGCCTCTCCGGCAGATGCACTCCGACTTCAAAGGAAGCTTCCCAATTAGTCGACTTTTACGACATGTTTTTGGGGAGGCAGTGGGTCTATTCTTGTTTTCCCCACAATGGGGCCCCGGAACCCACACGGGGGGATAACAATACGATTACAATATAAAGATAAGGACGATGACAACTGCGAAGAAAACTTGAAACGTAAAATTCTTACCTGAACATCAAATGGAAAGTCATCGAGCTCCAAGTTCTCCATGAAAGTGCCTTTGACTGTCCGTTTTTCGGACATGAAAGCCTCCCCTTTGTCATTAAACACAACCCGATATCTGAACATCTCTTTGGGATCTCCATAGCTATTCTCTATATACAGTTTAGGGTTCCAGTACTTTTTAATGTCTACGTTGTCACCGCACTGAAAATATATAATGCATTATTGTGAAATAAAATGTGAACTGAAACGAATAAATCAAGTACTGAATAAATGAATCAAGAATTGGCATTAGAGCACTAGAGATATTCCCATATGTGTTCAGTCTCCTTCGTCAGTAGCCAGCTAAGAGTAACCATGCTAACTGTGAGAGCAGCAATCTGATTGAAAATAGGCCCCTGTTTTCTCTGTGTCTCATAGCAGAGCCTCTGTTAGCCCCGACATGTCTTTCCCCTATAAGTCCTGTTGGAATAGTTTTCTCAAGGCTGTTATGTTGTTTATCCATGACGAGTGATGAAGACCTCTTTCATCCAAAGTAGTAATGATCAATGATTTGTGAATACGAAGGTGGCTGATTAGTCCAATGTGATCCTGAAAAGTTCTTGAGCAGTGTGGACAACAGGTGAAAGCCGCAGTTAGTGTAGGGATTAGCAGTACGGTTCTTTCAAGTCTGTCCCCGTTTCTCTGCCTTTGAAACCTCCGCTGCGTGTCTTTCAAGGTATTGATTTCTTTGTTTGTTCTGTTCATCAGTGCTGCTGTATCAGATGACTGAACATGCATGCGAATGTTTAATGTGCAGTGCAGTTAAATGCAGTAGCAAAATATACCATAATGTTGGAGAGAAATTATATATCTTTTCCTCTTAGTCCCACTGCTAGCTGAAGGTCTGACCATCCATTGCGATTGCGAGTCATCCTAGATGGCGATCAAAGAGTTCAGATCCTATCAACTCCGTGCAGCTTTCTCAAGAATTGTTTTTTTCATTTGGGCATTTTCAACTTATTCACTAAGAACTGTCGTGGTGGAAGGAAATAGCTCAACATCTCACACAGTATGACTAGAAAGTGCAGTGTGGTGAAATGAAATAGCTCAACATCTCACACAGTATGATTAGAAAGTACAACGTGGTGAAAGGAAATATCTCAACATCTCACACAGTATGATTAGAAAGTACAACGTGGTGGAAGGAAACAGCTCAACATCTCACACAGTATGATTAGAAAGTACAACGTGGTGAAAGGAAATAGCTCAACATCTCACACAGTATGATTAGAAAGTACAACGTGGTGAAATGAAATAGCTCAACATCTCACACAGTATGATTAGAAAGTACAACGTTGGGGAAGAAAAGAGCTTAACATCTCACACAGTATGATTAGAAAGTACAACGTTGGGGAAGGAAAGAGCTCAACATCTCACACAGTATGATTAGAAAGTACAACGTTGGGGAAGGAAAGAGCTCAACATCTCACACAGTATGATTAGGAAGTACAAGGCAGAAAAAGGAGCGCATCCGCTTAAAAGGTGAGGAACCAACAGTCTGCTCACAAATAAGTCACATCTGTAAAACGAATGCAGCAGAAGAAAATAAAGTCAGCCAGACTGCAGTCACTGCTTTTTATTCCAACTACTGAGGTACAGGCCGCCGTGGGGTAGTAGACAGACGATCACCTGCGGGTCGGAAGGTTGTGGGTTCAGATCTTGACGGAGTGGGACTTTAAAAAAACATGGCTTCCAGTTCGACCCGGCCTTAAATGGTTACCAGGTACAGTCCTGGGAACAAGTCATTATCCTCCGCCTCAGAACAGGGCACAACCGATTATGTTACCACATGTACACAAAATTCAAGACAGGCGTATCAGCGTGTGCACTGTGGAAAGGTGCACCAGACAGCAGAGCATGTACTCCAGGACTGCACCGAATATGACACATTAAGGCAAACCTTTGGGCCAGAAAGAACAAAAGTGGAACGTAATCTCTATGGACCACTGAATGAATTAACAACAACAGTGAAATTTATACAAGTGACAACATTGATGATATAGACAATTATTTCAGGCGAACGAAAGAAGAAGAAGAAGAAGAAGAAGAAGAAGAAGAAGAAGAAGAAGAAGAAGAAGAGTCCTGGGAAATAAAAGTGACTGACATGATGAGGACCACATCAGATAATAAGTGCCGATTGGTATATATATTTATAAGTCTAGTCCTATATGCGCAATACGCCTCAAAGTGGGAGCAATGGTTCTTTTTCTGCGGTCTACCCTGATAATTTGTATAGTAATTATTTTCTGGTTCTTCTGCGTTCACTCTGTAAAAACAAATGTGTTGGCATGTTATGTTGTGGTTTACATATATTTTGTGATGTGATATTGTTGCAATTTGGCGCAACGCCCGATCTCACCTAATCCTTATTTAGTAGAACGTTACCACACGCGTGTGGAGGAGCAACGTATTTATCGCATCTCTCCCAGTGAAGCGGCTAGGTTATGACGGGAAGGATGGATAACATGTCCGCCCCTTGAAACAGGATGGGTAGATGACATAAGCGCCCCTTGAAACATGAAGGGTAGGTAACACATGCTCTCTTTTGAAACAAGAAGGGTAGATGACATATGTGTCCCTTGAAACAGGAAGGGTAGATGACATATGCACCCTTTGAAACAGGTAGGGGCCCCTAAAACTACCACAACCAGAACACAATTTTCCGTCTACGGACAGGACACTGCAGCCTCAGCTACCACATTACAGTAGCCCCAATGTGCCTGTCAGACAGGACCACAAACACCCGAGCACATTCTGCAATCCTGCCCACTCTTCTTAGACTCCGAACAGAAACCTGGCCTCAAGAACAAAGTGGGAAGAGCAGGCTATAGGAAACCATGAAGGACCAGCAGCTGACATGCGAGTTCATACAGGCAGCCCATCTGATGGTCTGACTTGACCATAAGAGCTGAGTTGAGTTGAGTCAAGAATTGACATCACAGCACTCGGGGCATTCCCATGCATGCTCTGTCCTTATCTTCAGCAGCCAGCACAGAGTTCCAATACTGATGTTACCGGTCACAATCTGGTTATATGTCCATCTTGCCTTTCCTGTGAGTGTAGTGAGCCGGCCAGACCCTCTGGTTACACCCAGGTGCCTCATTCTCCCCAGGCCATAAAAATCTTCAATCTCTACTGATTCCGTTGCTTGTCTCAAAGGGCATTGACTAAATCTGCCCTGTCATGTATCAATTCACCACCAAGTGGTGCGGACCCAGCCAATCTGTCTGCCTGTTCATTACCCACCACGTCGGCATCGCCCGGAGAAAAGATCCAAAGTATCCTCACTACGCGTGACCTTTCCAGTGAAGCTTGCCACTCTGCTCGAAGCATCCCTGTCTTCACATTTCTCGGCATGCTGAGCATACGAAACAGAACACAAAAGGAAAAAGGATTAAGTGGCAGCGTTTATCTCAAGGGATCAAAATGAGTTTCACTTTGTTGGAGAAGGTTAGAAGAGCGCCATTCGACATAAATATAAACACTCACTCCTAACCAGTACCGCTTATAACAATAAAAACAAACAATTATTTGTACGCTAACAATTTAGATTCCTTCACCATAAAAACGTAGCGTTGGAATTTACAATAACATTTTACTGATATTATTATTAATTTAATAGTTATTCAAACATTCTTAGAGTTTACATTGCGCAAATAACACACTTTAGCACTGTCATTGGCGCCAAATACCATAGGTACGACCCGGCCCTAACTCATCACTTCCGAGAATTATGGGACCTCGGGACTCATACGGGAAGGTATACTAATCGAAATGGTTCTTTCAATGACACAACAATTCCGTATTGCTTCTTCAAACACACGGAAAATCCGCTGCAGTTTGTCATGCGGTTAATGTTGTTCTGTTTCATGTAGCAGGTTGCACCAAGCCAGCGGAAATGCTATCGATGTATGAGATGTTATCTTCGTTTTATTGCCCACACGAAACAATGAAGCGATAACATTCAGTTAATTCTTGGGTAAACCTTCAAAGAGCGGAGTTTCATCCGTGGAATACCGCATTAATCAATTAGTGAAGAATAGAATTCTTCACAAAATGGCTGCGACTGATTGTAAAGGAAACAGTGGTTGCTGCAGCAAGAATGACGCATTGGGATCTTCATCATCGTCATCATCATTATCAATATGTACCATGTGAATAAGACAAGCTGTTATGCTTTACCATCCCGAACGATCACTATAATCACTGGTTCGCCCATGGCTCTTGACCCGACACATTTATATGACCCGGCAGTACATGTTTTTAAGTCTGTCGCTCCCTTTTTTCCCACCAGTCTTGTCACTTGTAACAAGTTCTGGAGTCTAATACTTATCCCAGCTGTATTTCATGATCTCAGGTATCCACACGGTGGATAGACGATCACACAATAAAGACAATGGTTAGTGAACGACCACTAGACCAGTATTTTCATCTTTAGCAAGCAAAGCAATTACGAACAACTTCTTTAAGAACCCAAGATCAATCTTTATTGAGCATAGCGATGCAAACTGCACTATCGAGTATTTTGACTTTGCTGCAGATATGTCCATCTACACGTCTTTTCTTATGTCATTTATCTTCAAATGTGGCATTAGTGAATAAAACGACACGCGCCAAATCGTCATATTCTTTGCTATTGGATTATTATTATTATTATTATTATTATTATTATTATTATTATTATTATTATTATTATTATTATTAAGTCCTTTATCCACTAAATTGCAAAGACCCTCAACTAACTCACGCCAAGTCGTCATATTCTTTACTCCTGCATGCAGCTCATCTTATATTATACCCCTCTTTTCAACTCCGCCAGTAATAATCTTCTCCGTGTGTTAATCTTCTGTTATGTATATGTCTCCATGTATTCCGACGTAAAGACAATATAGTTAAATTGTTTTCTAGTTTTCTGAATGCGTGTCCCATCCGAAGGCAATGTCTTTTCTTCACCTTTTGACTAACTGGCATCTGTTTTCTCCAGATCCCCCTAGTAAATCCCACAGTGTGTAGCGGTAGACGACTCCTCGTTCTTTGTTGGTTTCTTATTTTTCTTCGGCTTCCTGTGTAGTGATCTTACCTGGCTACACCTCTTTCAACATGTTGTTTTTGCAGTTTGGTCATGGTTGCACATTCACAGACATCACTTGGTGTTTGCAATAGTCTTACTTCTCGTACAGAGCTCAGAATATCGACCAGGCGTCACCACAGCTGCTGTGCATTGACTTATAGTGTATAGACAACAACTGCATAAAGCTTCAAACAGGATACGTTAAGAAAATTAGATCCTATTCACGTTTCCCGGTCCATCTACACACTGGTTAACCCTTCGTTCATACTTTCTTAGACTGTTCTACATCAGAGGCGTGTGACGTTGCCTTGCCTCCAATTATATCAGCGCCGATGTCACGTGTTCTATATTATACGATGACACAGCTTTCAACGACCTAAAAACATCTAGGTCTGACCTTATCCAAAACACCCCAACCCCCCCCCCCCTCCCCTCTCCTCCTCCCTCACCCTCACCCACAGCTTAAGCCTAAGTCCCACGAGAGACTTTTTTCGAGACGGTTGCAAGTGGTCACAAGGTGCTGCAGGCGAAGTTATATCTCAAGGTAGCCGCACAGATCACCCTTTGCACGAAACTCTACGCGCAGTTAGGGGTCAGCGGATTATAAGAGGGAAGTCATGGATGGCTCAAGCATCCTGAAGAACATTAGACAAGGAGAGAAGTAGGTCAAGGTGCCAGCTGAACAGTCAGACTTCTGTAGAGTTATAATCACATTGAGCCGGGAATGCAGAGACTGGTCAGCAGGTTTGACGGAGGTGGAAATTTAGCAATTAATGCAAGATAATACTCGCTCAGAGGATGTGATTATTTATGCAGACGGTTCAGTGTCAAGAGGAAAAAGAAGTGCTTGGGGTTTCTTGGCAAAAGAAAATGATCGATATTTGGTGCAGGAGAGACTAGCATATGATACCACAATATCCAGCTTAAAAATGGAGGTGAAGGCGGTCACTGCAGCTTTTCGCTGATTAGAGAACATGAAACACACACACACACACACACACACACACACACACACACATAGTGATTGTAACTGACTCAGAAAGCATGCTGAGGAAAGTCAGGACAGGCATGCTTCGTGTACAGTGGCATGCTTCACTTGGGAGGAAACAGGTAAAGAGTATTGTCTGCATTTGTTCTCAGGGATATACCGGAGCGTTGGGAAAGGAACAGGCGGACAGACTGACTGGCTCTGCACAACTTGGTAGAATACTGATGCATGATAAGGCAGACGTGGTTGGGGCCTTGTGGGAGAGCGTGTACAGTTCGGAGGAGCAGATGGATCACCAGTCTGGTGAGACTGATGCAGAGGGAAATGACGAGGGGTTCGACGCTCAGAGTAAAGGCGAGACGGACGTTTAATCAGAATGCTACTGGCACCATTAGTATTGGAACTCTGCGCTGGCTGCTCAAGATGGGGACATAGCGCTTATGGGAATGCCCCACATATTGTGACGTTGATTCTTGAATCAACTTATCAATTCAGCTCAACTCTTTTCGAGGAAAAAATTACAACGCGACACTCTTCTGTCCTAGACCAGTCTGAAAACGTGTGTAGATAGGCCGGGAAACGTGAATATGACTGAAAATCAATCCTTATTTCAGCCGGTAATTGTGTACTGCAGTAACACTGATATACTCGCATTTTTCTCAGTCTCTCGCCGGAGAAAGCTGAAAGTGTAGCATAAGACATGAAACAGTTGATCAAAAGACGATTCAGTGGAGAACCGAAATTTGTGCACTCTAAAGCGAAATTTGAGTCCGAAACCGACCCTTTGACAGCGTGAGGCAAGCGGCTTAACTACTTCGGCAATGAAGCTCAAGCCATCGGGATAAAAGAATCTCAGTTTGATAAACAAAAAACGAGAACATCCGACATGTATCTTACCTCGTTGAGTTTGCCATCCAACGAGGGCTCCCGCCATCTTGCCCTGACAATCACATCTGCTGTGTACTGTTCTTTGAGTGTGTCAATCTCCCCGACCTTGAAGAATTGAACACACACTTGAACTTTGACCTGTGAAGCATATACACAATTACTAATGAAATAATTATCGACATCGTTACGGAAATGTATAAATTAAAACATACAAAGTTATCTAATCTTTTCTTGTGCGTTAAAAAAAAAAATTAGAAAAGTGAGAAGTGTTAAAAGTACTGCAAGACTAACCAGAGCGCACTTTTGTTTTTCTTTACGGTTCTTTCGTAATTTCCTACCCAAGATGACCTCAGAGGACAGTCCAACATTTTAGAGGGTGGTAAGACTGGATTTACCCGATTTCTGACGCTTTTAACGACCTCAAAACATTTAGAACTGGCCCTAAGCGCAACCAACTTACGTCCCACGAGAGAGTGCAGCCTATCTACTACCCTCTGAAATATTAGACTTTGCGTGACCTGTAGATTTCCCCTGTTTGGAGAATGATATTAACAAAGCACCTTATTTTCCTTCTCCCTGCCAGTGTTTTTTTTTTTTTAATAAGTAGTAAAGTAAAGTAAAGTTCCCTTTTCACGCCTTTCGGCGCATCGGGCATATGAGCAGAGCGTCCCATATTTTTACAGACCATCAGCACTCTGTGGGTAATGTGGTCAGCATTACGCCCGCTGTCTTTACTTTCCCAGGACAGCCCATCCTGGTACCCATTTTAGGCTGGGTCGACCTGCGACGTCCCATACCACGACAAAAATCCACGCAGCCTGCAGTGGGTTTCGATCGCGGTATGCTGGCTTACGAGTCGGACTCGCAACGCCTTAGCCACGGACGCCGAAAAATAAATATAAGAATGTAGAAATTAGAAGACTGAAATATGAGGAAATAGATTGCTTGATTAAGTGGTTTGTCCCGTCCTGACTGCAAACCCGAAAGATTTACCCTGAGATTTAAAATAAATACTAGTCTGGATACCAGACCAACAAGGCAAATTCCAGATGCCCCATTCAACCTCTAAAGAAGTTGCATAGCAGCTACACCAAGTTGATGTAACCCTGGCAGTTGCACAAAGCAACACCAGCCTAATTTAACCCTCTGTCATTTGCACAACAGCAATACCAGCCTAATTTAACTTTCCGGCAGTTGCACAAAAGCAACACCAGCCTAATTTAACCCTCTGTCATTTGCACAACAGCAATACCAGCCTAATTTAACTTTCCGGCAGTTGCACAAAGCAACACCAGCCTAATTTAACCCTCTGTCATTTGCACAACAGCAATACCAGCCTAATTTAACTTTCCGGCAGTTGCACAAAAGCAACACCAGCCTAATTTAACCCTCTGTCATTTGCACAACAGCAATACCAGCCTAATTTAACTTTCCGGCAGTTGCACAAAGCAACACCAGCCTAATTTAACCCTCTGTCATTTGCACAACAGCAATACCAGCCTAATTTAACTTTCCGGCAGTTGCACAAAAGCAACACCAGCCTAATTTAACCCTCTGTCATTTGCACAACAGCAATACCAGCCTAATTTAACTTTCCGGCAGTTGCACAAAGCAACACCAGCCTAATTTAACCCTCTGTCATTTGCACAACAGCAATACCAGCCTAATTTAACTTTCCGGCAGTTGCACAAAAGCAACACGCGCCTAATTTAACCCTCTGTCATTTGCACAACAGCAATACCAGCCTAATTTAACTTTCCGGCAGTTGCACAAAAGCAACACGCGCCTAATTTAACCCTCTGTCATTTGCACAACAGCTGCACCAGCCTAATGTAATCCGCTGTCATCTGCATAACAGCAATACCAGCCTAATTTAACCCTCTGGCAGCTGCACAACAGCAACACCAGCCTAATGTAACCCTCCTGAATTTGCACGTAGGGATCTTGACTGAAATTAGTCATTTAAATTATTCAAGATTGATATTTGTAACTGCTCATCCAAAGTGTTTGAATTCATTTTGATTTCAATAAAATTATTCTTTTAAACACAACCCCCCCCCCCACCCCCCCCCCCCTCTCACCCCAACAACATCACACACAAAAATCAACAACAACAAAAAAAAAACTTGCTGAATCTAATCAGAGATTCCTACTGGACAAAATGAAAGGCAATCGGCAACGGATCATGCTTATAGCCTATTTTACTATCCAACTGACTGCTTCTGTAGTGGCCAAGAACAGGGAGTTGATCGTTGAAAAACAGGCAAGAAATAAATCACTGTTGGCATAATCATCAATATTGTATGGTCGCTGCTCATGGATTGTTGACTCAGCTCTGTCATGTATGGCAGGGCGCAAACATAGTGTCTCTGATTTTATAGTTATTTTGTTGGCTGGACAGTGTGTGTTTGTAGAACAATAACGGAAGACAAAATGCGTGCATAGGTACGTAGACATATAAAAAAACCAAAGGACTCTTTTCCACGACTTTAGGCATACAGGGCTGCACCTATATTTTATAGACCAATTGGCACAAGATGGGTAATGTGGTCAGCATTACGCCAGCCGCCTTTACTTCCCGGGACTCTATACACTCAAGGCTGGGTTAACCTGGAAGCCAAGGTCAGTTCTGAAAAAAATCCGGCTCCGCCAGGAAGCAAACCCTTGACCTGTCGATCCGCGGCGAGCATCTAGCCGCTCCGCCACGGCGACTCCCATATAAAAATATAAATGGGTAGATTTTTAGACACATACACAGATAACGAATCGCTGTGGTCTAGCAGCTAGATCCAATCTTAAATGGGTACCAGGTGAAGAAATAAGAGGTAAAGGCGGTTGGCATGAAGTGGACTATATCACCCACCGCTTTACCTGTATCTGGTTATGCGTTTCTTGACTGAGCGAATAACATTCTCATATCCGCCTCTCCACATTCCGCAGTTTAAACTCTCAGAGCATTACCATCAACGATGCTCCTTTCTGCTTAACATTCATCCATAACAGACCAACAAATGTTTTTAAATTCTCCCCCCTCCCCCCCCCCCCCCCCCCCCCCAGGTCCTTTTAATCTACAACCAAAAATTCCATCACAATTTGATAGTTGTAACTCAAATTTTATTCGCACACCATTTTAACTCTTTCAGTCCCACTCATTTATTACATCAACTCCTCATTACTCAAGAAGTTGGACTTTAAATCAACAAATACGTAAGCTTGAAGAAGTTCAACAAAGACGCTTAAAGGCAGAAGCAGGTAAAGTAATCATTCTGATACAAAAGGTTAAAAAAATGAAGGGTTTGATGGTGCTATTGTTAAGGAAGAGGAGGATGGTAATGACGTTGAACACATGAAAAAAGTAAGAAAACACGCGAAGCTATTTTTGAAACAGTAAGGGGCAACTAATCTCACGCAACAGGTTGTTTGAGAAAGAAAAGTTAATGAAAGTAAAAGTAAAGATGCCTTTTCACGCCTTAGGCGCATCGGGCATACGGGAAGAGCACCCATAATTTTACAGACCAATCGGCACTGGGTGGGTAATGTGGTCAATGTCTCCACATCCCCTGGACATCCATCATGGTACCCATTTTAAGCTGGGGCGACCTGCGACGCCCCATACCATGATAAAAATCCACGCAGCCAGCAGTGGGTTTCGATCACGGTACGTTGGAATTATACGAGTCGGCCTGGCAACGTCTGAACCACCCGACGCTGCCAAGAAAAGTTAAGTGGCTGTAATTTGGCCACAATTAGACAGAGATAGCTAAAATGATAGAGTGTTTTCCTTGAAAATAATACAAGGGCTTATATTACTTTTCGCTCCAAAAGACGCCTTAGAACTTATTTTCTTGGAATGTCTTTTTTTTTTTTTTTATGTAAAAAAGGCGTCCGTTTGGGTATTTACAAATACCTAAGACTTAGGTATATTCTAATTGATTTCAGCAATTGATTTCATTAAAATTGTTTCTTTATATCTATGTATGCATTCGATATTTTACAGTTCAACATGTCTTATAACCGACGCATTTAATCCGTCAGTCTGGGTGACGATCACAACTAGGGCTTTTAATTGGGCTAATAATTATATTACAAACATTCTGAAAAATCACCTAATTGCTTGTTTTCGGTTAGGTCTTATTCTCCGTAAATGAAAATTAGCCTTTTGCTTCGCACTCCAAAGGTCGTGGGTTCGTTTCAAGGAGTGGTTGTTCAGTTCATGGGTGCAGTTTTGGGGGAAATCCCTGGGGATCGTTGCTCCTGCTACAGAGTTCGTTCTCTCTGCGACGCTTTTTGAAAGCGGTTAGCCGTTCTGTGGAGAGCGATCGAGTCACATGAGATATGACACGGTGCGCCTCGTAGAAAATGGGTGGTGGGGGGGGTGGGGGGGGGGGGGGGAGAGGGGTGAAGTATTATATGTGACCTGGAAAAGAAAGGTGCCCACATAGCAACGAAACTGCAATGGCACACGAAACTAGCCGGAAAGGTTAAACCGATCAACTAACGTCTGCAGAAGTCTGATGTGTCGACCGTGAAGCGTAAATACTGCAAGCATGTTCTAAAGCTATCCTCCAGTCATTAAGAAAGAATATGGGTGCTTTTGAGCTGAAATGCTATAGAAAGATTTTCAGAGTATCATGGAAACAGGAGAGAAAAAAATACTGACATTTTAAAACATCTGAACATCAAGGAAGACTAGATAAAAAAAAAAAAAAAACATCTAGTCTCACAAGCTACAGAAGGCATGGTACCAGGAAGGAGGGGCGGAACCGACCAACACAAAGCAGGGCATATAATGTAACTGACTCTTTGAATATGAAAGTACACGAGGCGGAAGAGTTAGCGAGAGTCCGAGTTTCTTTAGGGCAGAGCTTGATGAGAGCGACGTTCAGCGAGGGCCTGCTACTGATGATGTTCTAAATGGGCACAACATACCTACATCTTCGGATGAACGCAAAAAAAGAAAAAAAAAAAGGAACGAGAGCGTTTCATTCTAAGAACTCCGTCAGCCGCTCCTCCCAGCAATGAAAAAACCACATAGAAAACTAGCAGATTCCATGGACAAACTGTGGCTGTATTAGGGAAATGTGTCTACAGCTACCATCCACTGATGCTTTTTGGAAACAATACACACCCAAGACCCA